TTTTCATGTAAAAGATATTGAAAAAAATAAACCATATAAATTTAATATAATTATTATTTAAAAAAGAAATGAAAAAATACCGTCCCAATTATATCTTCTCAAATCATTTTTTAAATTATATTTATATGATTATAATATAACAAATTATAACAACTATTGTGTTTTTACACATTTTTGAGACTATAATGAATATGGTATAATTTATTAAAGTTAATAGTTATTTAGTTCTAAAAGAAGTCAGCGACTTTTGAAGGGACTCAAAAAGTCGCCGACTTCTCAGTAATATCAAAAGTCGCCGAACAGCCATTAACTTTTTCCACAGAAAATTTTTATCAACTTTTCTAATAATTATAAGTCAATTATTTTAAATATTTTATAATTATTGTTGTTAATCTTTCCAATACCAGAAATATTATTTTTTTAAACACGCATACAGATAAATATAAACTCAAATCCTGAAACTTAAAGTTATTCTAAATAAAACCGTATTTAGTTTTAACAATACATTTTTTAATTCTTTTTTTAATGTAACATTTAAAATATATATAAAGTTTGCACGTTTCATTTTATGTGTGTTATATAAATTAAAAATCTAACATTATTGTGTCATTCAAATTAACAATAAAATTGAAGTCATTATATTATAAAATAATTCTAAAATTGTTCTTACTTTATAATTATGGAAAATGTAGTTATGTTGTTTATATATTGTTTTTTTGAGTAATGTAAAAAATAATATTGAAACAACAGTTAAAAAAATATTTGTAAATATATATCATATACAGTTGACCAAGTAATTATCAGAGACCAAATAATCGTAAGAAGGATGTATTTCCCGTTAATTGCCTTGGAAATGATTATCGAAAAAAGTGAAAAAAAAGGTACACCAAATAATGCCAATAAACCCATTTCTATTTTTAAAAATAGTTCTTGATTGAGGTTTCAAAACTATCAATTTTACTTCTTACAATTATTTGGTTTCTGACTATTATTTGGTCAACTGTACATATGATTTTTAATAATAGGTTATAAAGTGAGAACGCTAACCATCAGTTTGGTTTTACAACTAATATCATGGTATTTGATTGTTTGTTATAAATATTAAAATTCAAAAAAATGTTAACTTTTTTACACGATAATTACAAAACATCAAAACATTTCAATATAAACTAAATTAAAATAATTAATATCTGAATTTTCAAAAAATGACGTATCCTTTGTTTTTTAACGGGTCAACAATATTTTTTTTCTTGGGCAAAATGCACGAGACGCAAAAAAATGCGTTTTTTTTCTATAAATATAAAAAATGAGAAAAAACGATTCTAAAAATAATTTACATATAAATTTGATATTGTAGGAAAAGGCATCTTTCAGCAGTTTTTACATAGTCGACATTACAGCAAAAGATCAGACCACAAGTTTTTACGACTATTATAATGCGATTTTAACTTTAGGTATGAAATATAATCGACATCTTTTTCCAGACACTATTAATGAGTAGAAATATCTTTATTATTACTGTGACAACATCGGAATAGCGAGACAAACTTATTACAATTATATTTTTAGTTGATTTTTGCAACCGATTGGGTTTGCAAAAGAATTGTTAGTTATTTTATTTAAAAAAAACACAAAAAATATAAAAATATTTTTTACACATTTTATCTAAAGGGTTTCTTGAGGATAAGGTGTATCCTCAGGTTCAAAGCTATCCTTATTAAAAAATATTTTTCTGAGGATACAAAAAACAAATCCATAAGGTTCAGTTCCCCATAAAGCCCACTCTCATAACTCAAGTTATAATTTACACTTAATATTTTGAGTCAAAGTTCGAATTTTAAATGATGGTAATAATTTGTCATAAATGCCAAAAAATTAAAAACAATCAAAAAATCGTTATGATAATTTATAAACATAAACAATAATTATAACTCGCTTACTTGAGACGGGAAATAATAAAACGTGAATTGTACTTGTTCATATTATAATTATAAACTTATTGATATTATTTACGAATCCTTTTTAATAACAAAACGATTGAAATTTACGTTTAAATTGATAATTGTTTTTTTATCAAAATGAAAATTGAAAAAGTCGAAAACACTGATTTAATAATAATGCATTTTTAAAAAAACAAATTTATTAATAATTTTGTAATTTATGTAATTATTCAAATTTATTATAATAACAAAGTTAATCATATTGTGTATATTTTAATATGAATGTTTTATTTTGATATTAACTTATGTTTTAAACAAATATACAGTTCTGAGGATGGCAATTATTTTCTGAGGATGACAGAAATAGAAAGTTTACACTTTTACGTCTG